TCGGGGAGGCGTAAGACTCGGGGCACGGGGGACTCCGGTTGGCCTGACAGGGCCATCATAAAAATATCGAGGCCCAAGCTGAAATTTGACGCGAATTCCCGCTGCAAACATCCCACGAAAACTGGACCGTCAAAATCCTGGACGCGCTCGTCAAAAAAACGGCGGCAAAGCCGGGTTCCGGCTTACTCGAGTCTTACTCGAGTCTTTCCGAGTGTACGAATCGAGACCTGCGCACTGTCAGAAGTATTTCCTCGCATGGGCTCGACGAGAGAAGCAATTCTTCGGGGTGCATCGATTCTGTGGCCGATCCCCTGATCGAACGAGGGCCGCTCGACCTTGCACGATCGCGGCTTGCCGATCGCGCGCGCGCAAGATCGTTCGACGCCAGCCGCCTCTGGACCACTGGCGGCGTTCCGTCTCGAACGCCCCGTGCTGGGGACGCCGCCGCTCCGGCACGGCACGAAGCTGCCGCAGGTCGGGAGCCGCCGGCCGGCCGGACCCCCTCCGTGGCCGTGAGAAGGTCGCGATGGAAGGCCTTCGGGGTGCGGCCAGGGGCCTCCCAGGGCCGCGTTCGGGCCCGGGGGGCTGCCAAGAGAAGGCTCGGGATGGTGAGGCGGACCGGGAGGCAAGGGGTCGAGACCTCCGGGGGCCGACGCTGGGAACAGGAGAACACGCTGGGGTGTCGGGGACGCAGCACCCCTCGAGTCACCACTGCACAAGATATCCCAAAGAAGCTCACTGTGGCTCACAATCTGCCGCCCGGAGGCCCCAAGAAGGCCCAGAGACGGCTCCAAGTGGCCACGGAGCCTCCCAAGGAGACCACGGAGAGGCTAATTAGAAGCATTCAAACACACCATGTACTCCAATGACGTGTGCCTTCTTGCCCCTTCGCTTGCCAATGGGCTTCTGAAGCCTCCAGATGGCTCCAAGATCTCCCGAAGTAGTGACGGCCCCAGAAGTGCCCAAGAGAGCTGCGAGAGCGCCCCCAGAGGGCTTCAAGAGGCGGCACCTCGGGATCTGACGATGCAGAGATGATTAAGGACCTCCCGTCGCTCACAGCCACCACCCTTGAAACGAATGCGGTGTCTGAGGAATCTGGGCCTCGCAGGGGCACCGTTTTTGGGCGACTATTGGGCCAGGATGGCTCCAAGATGGCCCCGGAAGCCTCAAGATGGCTGCCCCAACACGGCATAACCATAAACTTTCGACGGTCCGCGAGGATCGCCAAAGTTATGTTTTATGCGGTTTCTGACTCTGCAGCTGAGATGGCTTCCCAGATGGCGCAAGATGAACCGCGCTGGGCGCTTCGCCTCGGCTCCTTCCCGGGCGACGCCGCAGCAGTTGAGCCCAGAGAGCGGGAGAGCCACGGCAGGCCACCCCCCACCTCTTCGGGTGGCTGGTCTGCGAAGGTGTGGCATGCTTTTTTCTTTTTTTTCTCTCTCTCTCTCTCTCTCTCTCTCTCTGTCGATGTCTGCCTGGATATGACACAACCGAACCTGCACAGATGGCGTGCTCCCACCTGGACGCCGACGGCGATGCGCGACTCTCCGAGGAGAACTCTTGGACTGCTGGGCCGTGGCCGGCCACCCCTAATGAGCCTGCGGAGGCGCGTTGCCTGCACGTCAAGAGCCTGAGCGTGTTGCGGAACCGCCGCGAGGGGTTCCAGGCTCAACAGCGTCAGCCCTTGAGCGCCCACACACGTGGAGAAAAACGACTGACGACCCTCACCGTGGAGCCGTCTCTGGCGATCCGCCAGCCGCGTGAGACGATGCCGCGCGCCGCGCTCTAACGGCGGGCAGCCGAGGCCGTCGGGCACACTCAGAGCGTCTTCGAGGGGGAGGGGCATATGGAAGGCACCCTGGGGAAGGTCGCGTGGGCTGGAGCTGGAGGTGTTTTCGTGGTTGCATGGGCGGCCCTGTAAGCGGGGGTGCCCTGGAGGTCCGCCTGTGGTCGGGAAGGGTGGTCCCGGGATGTCCCCCCGCGGGGTCCATGGCTGCAGCGGGGGTCCAAAGGGAGGTCCCGCTGAGTGTGAGTTCCTGTCCTTCCCTGAGTGCGTGTCGTCCGTGCGGCTCCTCCGGTTCAGGCCACAGCATGGTTTCTGGCGGTCGGCACCCCGCAGAACCTGACCTTCTGGAGAGCTTCCGGAAGTGGTCAGCTTCAGACACTGGTCTCCGGGCCTGTCCTGCCTGCTTCAGAACTCGTCCAAGACCCAAAACCCAGAGGTCCTGGCGGCATATGCCCACCCGGCAGGTTTGGGGGTGAAAGAATTGAGCTCCAGACCCGTCTCGCCCCCCCCCTGCATACCGCGGCCGCCAAGCCCCAGAGATCCCTTTGCTCCCTGGGTATCCTGCCTCGCGTCTTCTACGGATGACGGCTGCATACCGCGGCCACCATGCCCCAAGGGAATCGCCGCTGCCCGGGAATCCCGCCTCGCGTACTCGGGTGCGGGTGGCTCACAGCAAAACACAGGAAATATGGTTTCGACTCCTGGAAGGTCAGGGAACGGGGCCCTGAGACCATGGAGCCTCGGGGCGGCGGGCGAGGCCCTGAACTGCGCGCGCAGATTCAGCCCAGAAGGTCGCCATTTTCGTATGCATTGTTTTGCCGATCGGCGCGCGCCCTCGCACCCCCGCTCCCACCACCCATTGAGTAGATCGTGGCGGCTTTGGGCGCCTGTGTCAAGCAGGTGGGGCCTCCGTCATAGGACGCTACTGTTGCAAACAGTCGCATCGAGCAGAGGTCCAGAGCCACCCCCACCCCCACCCCTTCCGCCCAATGCCGAAACGCCGAGCAAGACAACGCTAGCAACCCCCTTCACTCGGGGAGGCGTAAGACTCGGGGCACGGGGGACTCCGGTTGGCCTGACAGGGCCATCATAAAAATATCGAGGCCCAAGCTGAAATTTGACGCGAATTCCCGCTGCAAACATCCCACGAAAACTGGACCGTCAAAATCCTGGACGCGCTCGTCAAAAAAACGGCGGCAAACCCGAGTTCCGGCTTACTCGAGTCTTACTCGAGTCTTTCCGAGTGTACGAATCGAGACCTGCGCACTGTCAGAAGTATTTCCTCACATGGGCTCGACGAGAGAAGCAATTCTTCGGGGTGCATCGATTCTGTGGCCGATCCCCTGATCGAACGAGGGCCGCTCGACCTTGCACGATCGCGGCTTGCCGATCGCGCGCGCGCAAGATCGTTCGACGCCAGCCGCCTCACCACTGGCGGCGTTCCGTCTCGAACGCCCCGTGCTGGGGACGCCGCCGCTCCGGCACAGCACGAAGCTGCCGCAGGTCGGGAGCCGCCGGCCGGCCGGAACCCCTCCGTGGCCGTGAGAAGGTCGCGATGGAAGGCCTTCGGGGTGCAGCCAGGGGCCTCCCAGGGCCGCGTTCGGGCCCGGGGGGCTGCCAAGAGAAGGCTCGGGATGGTGAGGCGGACCGGGAGGCAAGGGGTCGAGACCTCCGGGGGCCGACGCTGGGAACAGGAGAACACGCTGGGGTGGCGGGACGCAGCACCCCTCGAATCACCACTGCACAAGATATCCCAAAGAAGCTCACTGTGGCTCACGATCTGCCGCCCGGAGGCCCCAAGAAGGCCCAGAGACGGCTCCAAGTGGCCACGGAGCCTCCCAAGGAGACCACGGAGAGGCTACAAGCATTCAAACACACCATGTACTCCAATGACGTGTGCCTTCTTGCCCCTTCGCTTGCCAATGGGCTTCTGAAGCCTCCAGATGGCTCCAAGATCTCCCGAAGTAGTGACGGCCCCAGAAGTGCCCAAGAGAGCTGCGAGAGCGCCCCCAGAGGGCTTCAAGAGGCGGCACCTCGGGATCTGACGATGCAGAGATGATTAAGGACCTCCCGTCGCTCACAGCCATCACCCTTGAAACGAATGCGGTGTCTGAGGAATCTGGGCCTCGCAAGGGCACCGTTTTTGGGCGACTATTGGGCCAGGATGGCTCCAAGATGGCCCCGGAAGCCTTAAGATGGCTGCCCCAACACGGCATAACCATAAACTTTCGACGGTCCGCGAGGATCGCCAAAGTTATGTTTTATGCGGTTTCTGACTCTGCAGCTGAGATGGCTTCCCAGATGGCGCAAGATGAACCGCGCTGGGCGCTTCGCCTCGGCTCCTTCCGGGGCGACGCCGCAGCAGTTGAGCCCAGAGAGCGGGAGAGCCACGGCAGGCCACCCCCCACCTCTTCGGGTGGCTGGTCTGCGAAGGTGTGGCATGCTTTTTTTTTTTTTCTCTCTCTCTCTCTCTCTCTCTCTCTCTGTCGATGTCTGCCTGGATATGACACAACCGAACCTGCACAGAGGGCGTGCTCCCACCTGGACGCCGACGGCGATGCGCGACTCTCCGAGGAGAACTCTTGGACTGCTGGGCCGTGGCCGGCCACCCCTAATGAGCCTGCGGAGGCGCGTTGCCTGCACGTCAAGAGCCTGAGCGTGTTGCGGAACCGCCGCGAGGGGTTCCAGGCTCAACAGCGCCCACACCCGTGGAGAAAAACGACTGACGACCCTCACCGTGGAGCCGTCTCTGGCGATCCGCCAGCCGCGTGAGACGATGCCGCGCGCCGCGCTCTAACGGCGGGCAGCCGAGGCCGTCGGGCACACTCAGAGCGTCTTCGAGGGGGAGGGGCATATCGAAGGCACCCTGGGGAAGGTCGCGTGGGCTGGAGCTGGAGGTGTTTTCGTGGTTGCATGGGCGGCCCTGTAAGCGGGGGAGCCCTGGAGGTCCGCCTGTGGTCGGGAAGGGTGGTCCCGGGATGCCCCCCCGCGGGGTCCATGGCTGCAGCGGGGGTCCCCAGGGAGGTCCCGCCTTCAGGGTCGGCGGCGCAGGATTTCTTGGGTCTGCGCTGAACGCCCCCCCCCCCCCCCTGACGCGCAGAGCGAGCGAGGGGCGACGCCAGAGGCGCCTCCGACGCGCGGTGAAAGGCCCCCCTCCCTAACGCGGCAAATCCCTGTGCAGTCAGCCGGTGTGGAGCCGCCGAAGGCGGGCAGCTCACAAGGAGATCTTGGTGGAGGTGCCCTGCCGCATGGCGGTCGAGCTGCTACAAGTGCCCTGCTGCATTTCGATCGAGGAGCGGACCGCATTCATGGACTTCCGCTGCAGGCGGCGCCGCTGCGCCCTGGTCCTCAGAATCAGCGCCGGCACCCACTCGCCCTCCGAGCTGCTGGGCACACTGCCCTCGCTCGTGTCCGCGGTGCTGCTGCTCGAATCTCGAGAGCCTGGTGCACAGTTTCTCCCCCCGGCCGTAGGCGAACCGAGGAGGAGGAGGAGGAGGAGGAGGAGGAGGAGGAGGAGGAAGAGGATGAGAAGGAGGTGGAGAAGGGGGAGGGGGAGGAGGACATGGGAGGAGGAGGAAGAGGAGGAGGAGGAGGAGGAGGAGGAGAGGAGGGAGAGGAGGAGGAGGAAAGGAGGAGGAGGAGGAGGAGGAGGAGGAGGAGGAGGAGGAGGAGGAGGAGGAGGAGGAGGAGGACGGGTCGCCAAAGCCCTTCGGAGAAACCCTCGAGAGCCGACGGACACCGTTGTGGACGACATGTCGGAGATGGGGTCCGACTTCGCGGGCTCGCCCACTGTGACGTAGTCGACCCTGAGAGGAAGAAGAGGTACCCATACCTCGACCCTTCCATCATTTTCCCCGTTTGGGGCCCCTTTGGGGGCCCGCATCGCCACCGCCGGATTCGCCTCGAAATCCTGGTCAAAAGGCACCCCGGGAGAGGTCCAGGGAATAGCGGTATGGGTACCTTTGTGGTTTTCCCAGGTCCATGGCGACTGGCTGTCCAGGAACAAGTTCTTGATGGTCAGGCCAAGCGGCGGCTGGTGCTCCACTGGCATGGTCCCCCGCCGTGGCATCGCAGTGCCCGCGAACCCCACGACTGCGTCGGGAGACCTGGTGCGCCGCACGACCCCCGCGTACCCGGGGCGCGTGCCCGGAGAAGTGGCGCGGCTTGAGCCAACATGGCAGCCGAAGACCATGCATGGCCCTGGCCATGGTGTCCACACACCGCGCACCCCTAGTCCTCACCCCTTCTTGAACATCCCCGAATGCAACAGCATGCAAGACGTCGGGCTCGCGTGAGCCGTTGCACGCGTCCAGGGCCTTGTTGGACCCCCTCTGAGGTTAGCCCTGCGCGTTCGGAGAATCCTGGCGCGGCTGCTTGTGAGCCCTTAAAAGGCCTTGAAGCCCCCAGTGAGCCCATTGGGGCGCTCCTGCTGCAATATTGGAGCTCTTTCGGGGAGTCGGTGGGCCCTGTTGGGGCAGTTTGGCGGAGTCCGTGGGCATCCTGGGGCCATCTTGGGTTTCATGGCTGAAAAAGAGAAGAGGTTGTACGAATTTGAAGTCACCCCCTCGGAGACCGAAAAAGCGCCCCTTGGAGCTTTCCCGGCGCGCTCTCGAGGCGCTCTTCGCCGCGCTCCGTCCGCTCGAGGCGCCAGCGGCAACGCCAAACAATCATGCTACGGGCCCTTGTGCATGTGGAAGGGTTGCTTGGGATTCTGGCCGCTTCGCGCATCTCCGCCAGCCCATTGAACAACGAGGCCCGGCCGAGTTGAGGTCCTGAAAGGAAAATAAGGGGGGATATAGAGGCAGCCATTTTCGTTCGAAGGAAGATCAGGAGGGATGAGGGATCATAGAGAAGGGAGAGGAATGGGCGAATAGCGATGATGCTGGCCACGATGATGGCGGCAACGATTGCGATGGCGATGGCTGCGATGATGGTGCCGAGGAAATTGAGGATGACATAGGCGACGTGGATGATAACGACTATGAGGATAAGGAGGAGGCGCGGCATGATAACGATGAGGAAAAACCACGATGATGGCGATGACGGTGACGGTGATGAAGGTGATGATGCTGACGGTGATGACGAGGATATGGATGATGGTGACGATAATAACGTTGAAAGGGAGGAGGAAGAGAGGGATGAGACGGAGGAATGAACGAGTCGGGTGAGGAGTGGGAGGACGAGGAAGATTAGGAGGAGGGAGGAGGAACCATGGTGATGATGATGCGGATGCTGCTGGCGAGAATGATGGTGATGAAGATGATGAGGGCGATGATGATGGTAAAGGCAATGCCGATGATGAGGCTGCTGGTGATATTGATGCCGATGATGATGGCAGTGGTGGCGGTGATGCATCTGATACTTGGGAGAGCGAGGACAGCGATAATGATGATGATGGTGGCGATGATGACGATGGTGATGATGATGACGACGGGGGTGATACTGCATGAGGTGATGATGATGGTAACGTTGGTGATGGGGTCGTCTTGGACCTTCAAGCCCCCGAAAGGCACCTAGGGGCGCTCGCGGGGCAATCGTGGAGCTACCACCGGGAATGGGCGGGGCCCTCTTGGGCCCTTTAACAATGAGGGGAAGCAATCAGAAAGAAGATGGCACAGCGAAGGCGAACACGCCTCAGAAAGACGCGAGGGGCACGTCCGCGGCGCCCCACTCCCACCCTTGCCTCGCCCCCACCAGTTACCCCGCATGTCCATCGGTGGAAACGGAGGCGGAAGAAGCTCCTCATCCGAGACGCTGGCGTCGGGGGCCACCGCGCCTGAATCCGCGTCGACTCCAGACTCCGTGGCATCGTCGCACTCCCGCTCGACCATGGCCTTCTCGCGCCCGTCGTCGTCGCTTACGCGGCCCAGGCCGGACGCGCCTGGCTCGCCAGCATCCCCAGCGGGGCCCGCGTCAGACAGAATGCCGAGATTGACGCCGAAGACGTCACTGCATTCCTGCTTGGCCTCGGCCGCGGGTTCGATCTTGGCTGCGCCGTGCAAAATCTTGACCGCGGCGTCCTCGCGCTCGCAACTCAGCTCTGCGCGAACCTCGCTGGACCGATCAAGAATGATCTGGGAGCGGTACTTCCGCGTCCCTCCGAAAACCCATCCAAGGCAGATCTACGTGATGGGGGCATTCGACTCCAGCGGCGACGAAGAACCTCTTGCAATCCAAAGGGGAGGTCGACGCGATATCATCTCCCGCGCCAAGCTGACATTTCTCTACACTATGGACCAAGATGGGGGCTTGCCATCGCCGACAACCTTCGCGACGAATGCCAAGATTCTGGCGGGCTGCGAGCCTGGGGCAGCTGCGCTGAACTCTAGCTGGATGGGGGGCGAGCTCGCTCTCCGCTTGGCGTCGCCGATGTGGAGCGAGCACCAACGACGCAGGCTCTTCGCCGCGACCGAGCGCGGCCCCTGATGGCGGCCCCCGCTGCCGAGCCCCCCGCGTCGTAGACAGCAAACTAAAACAAGTGTTTGTCGTTTTGTTCAGGCCCCCTTGCAAATCCGGCACAGGAGTAGGGTCGCCCGCGTTTGGTCCGGGGGCTTGTCAACGTGGAGGCCCCCTTCAAGACTGTCCACGCTGGCGCCTGAACCCACGCGGAGTGGCCACTTTCCCAGGGTCGCGATGACGCTGGGCCTCCTGAGGCATAGTTTAAACCCCTGCGCGACGATTAAGCCAGACTTGACTTATTGGACCAGTGGAAGTCCACGCCCCGCGCCCCTTCCACTGCCCAGTTCTCAGCAACAACTCGCGCCAAGCAAGCGCCCTTGGATTCGCCCGGCAAGTCTTTCCATGTCTTCCGTGTCCGGTTGCATAGCGCCGTCGCCCCAGCAGCGCCGCCCCGAAATTCTGAGAGACATATGCATCGAAAGGCCGCGCAATACACTGTCAGGGAAAAGCCTTCAAAGCCCCTGCAAGCAAGCTCGCCCCCGCCGCGCGCCGCACCTGCGCCCCCCCCCCCGCGGCCCAGGCAGAAAGCTGACAGACACTGCGAAAACACTTTCCGCATGCCCCGGTCTTGCAACACAGCTGCCATCACATCTTTCAGCGCTGTCGGATGCGATTGCGAAGCTTACGTCATAGAGGTACGTCGCGCCTTCGATATGGTTGTCGGGGTCCCACCTCGAGACCGAACTCTCTTCGGCTCCTGACAGAGTAGGCGTGCCCTCTCACATCGGGTCGAGTTCACTGGCAGGCATCTCAACATCGACCTCAACGGCCTGCATGCACTGCGCGAACGAAGATGGGTCCTGCGGACGATTCGCCCACGCGACCGTGAACTCTGCGATGTGATCTGCGCTGCGCTTCCTCCGCGCTGCGAATTGGCCGAGAACTCTGCGAGCCCCATCCCGGCGATTCTCCCCGGCCGCTGCGATTGTAGAGATTTCGACCTGCGGCCGCTGATGCGCGAAGACCAAGCGCTGCCGCGCCTCGGCCATGCTTCGCATTGTGCGCAGCCGCGCCCCGCGCCCCCTATGAGCTTGTTATTTTTTTTTATTTGGGGGGGGGCAACGCCCGTTGCGGGGGGGGGGGGGGGGGGGGTGGGGGGGGGCCAAGTTGGGGGTAACGGTAACGCGCGGCGGGGCCCTCGCACGGGCCCTGGTACTTATTACCAGCACAACTGTCGGCACGGTAGGCTTCGTCGTCGTCGTCGTCGCCGCTGTCGTCGTCGTCGAAGCCGACCGTGCCTGTGCACACTACACAGGCTCTGTACACCGCGATGCCTTTGTACACCACAACTGCGGCAGAAATGGCATGTGTGTGCACCACGGCGACTGAGCACATCATGACAGGCCGGTGCACCACAGCGCCCTTGTACATCTCACTGTTAGCGCACACCATGGCGCCCGCGCGCACCACAGCTGCTGTTTCAACGCCCCAAGGTTTGCACCAGAATGCCAGCGTACACCACAAAGCTTGCGTGCACCTGTAAGGTACTGGCGGAGCGAAAGTCCAGAAGATCGTTCGGGGCCCAACCGTGGCCCTTTCGTTATGTGAGCTGCTTGTGGATCGTAGTTTTTCTGGTTCAAGAAGCGCTCGGACCTGTTGAGCCCACAGCGCCTGTGTGCTCCATTGCGACTGTGTACATCATGGGAGTGTGAACCGTGGCGCCTGTGTATACCGCATGGCACGTGTGCACCACAAAGCTTGTGTACGGCTTTTTTTGCACGGAGTGTAAACCACGCACCGTGGGGGCGCGCGGGGCGGCGGCAGCCTAGGGAATACAGGAAGCAGGAGCTCCCTGCACAGGCACAAAGCCCTTGAGACATGGGTCGACGGCTGGAGCGTGCACGCGGGTGCGTCGTCGTCGTCGCCGTCAGTTGCGACGGCGACCGGGGGGGCGACGGCGGCGGCGGCGGCGACACGGGCGGCGGCGACGGCGACCGCGACGACGACGACGACGACGGCGGCGGCGACGGCGACGACGCCGACGGCGGCAAGCGGCGGCGGCGGCGGCGAAGGTGACCGCCGCCGCCGTCACCGCCGTCGTCGTCGCCGCCGACGCCGCCGTCGCCGTCGCCGCCGCCGCCGCCGTGTCCGCATCCAGTTGCCGAAAGCTTCAGCAGCGCTTGGGGCCCACTTGCTGGATGCGCACGCGGGGGGCCGGCGTGACCAGCCGCGCGAGGTAGGAGGGCCGAGCGCTGGAAGGACATGCGGCCACATCCACGTGCAGGTCTCGCCCAGTCCAGCCCCTTGCACCAGCGCAGGGAGAATGGAGGGAGGACAGTGGCAGTAGTCATAATGATATTGAGAGAATGCACCGGCTGGTTGCGCCATGGCTTGCCCGATGCGTTACACCACACGTTGTGCTTGCGCGCAATTACCTGCGCCATAGGTTGAGCCGTAAGCTGCGCCATAGGATGCGCCCCCAGGGCGTGCCATAGCTTGCGCCATAGGTTGCGCACCCAGGGCGCCCCACAAATCGCGCCTTACGTTGCGCCTTAGGTTGCGCCATCAGGGCGCGCCACAGGTTGCGTCGACGGTTGCGCCGCAGGTTGCGCCAAAGGCGGGGCCACTTTGTGGCGCTGCGTCTCAACGGAACTCCTGGTGCGCGCACTGTTCGGGGAAACGTCGCGCTGGCAGGCGGGCGTCGGGG